GGAAAGGTCTACAGGGCTGGCCAGAATCATGGCCCTCAGGTGATCCTGTGGCAAGCCTCACTCAACTGTGTGGCTGGGGGAGCATGGCTGCTTGTTCTCATGGCTGCCTCATCGTGGCCTGCTGAGCAGGATTTTTCCTGTCCTGTGCAGGAGAAGGGCAGGGGGGATCTGAGTCTTATCAGTTTGTTTCTAGTGCTTAGCTGGGCTTGAGAGAAATGATCTCTGCTTTGCAAACATGGCTGAATTTTGTTGGCTTTAAAAAAAAAAGAAAAAATGCTTCAAAAAAAGAAGGCAAAAAACTTGAAGGGAAGTTCACAGCAGCCTGAGCAGAGCTGAGCTGAGTGCTGGAGAAATGGCAGGGCCCTGCTTTGTAGGCAAGAGTGGAGCCAAGAGTGCTGCAGGTTGGGGCAGGCTGGCTGCAGAGTGCGTGGAACCTTGTTTCCTGGGTCTGAACTTTGCCATTAAGCGTGGAAGCATCACTGCTGTGCCCCGTGCCATGCCAGCAGGGTACAGAGCAAGTCAGGGCTGGGTCAGGTCCGGTGTTGAGCCACGTAACACTGGAAGAGAGCCCCGGAGGCAAGGCTGTTGGGTGGTCTGGATCCTGCCCCTTTTCCCCTGCTGTGTCTCGCAGATTCCCCAGTGCCCTGACCGAGGACAGCGGCTGCAGGGTCTGTGAGCCTCGGGGGATGAGCCACGGTTCCCTTCTTGAATCAAACTGCACACCTGCCGGCTGGCTGCCAGGCTCCTGCCCTGCCCTGATCTCTCCCTTTGACCAGACCACACTGGACTGAACCCGAGGAGATCATCTCGCTTTCTTACTAACCGCCGACGGTTTACGCTTCCCCCTTCCCTGCCCCCAGCCCACCGGTTCTTCTTTTATTTATTTTATTAGCTGTTAGTTTTATTTTTTTATTTTATTTTTTTATCTTTTTTTGGGGGCTCCCCCTTCTTTTTGTTGTTTGCTCTTTCCCGAGCTAGTAGACATATTTTATGAATTGGCTTTGTGATTGTGTTAGGTAGTTTTTATTGAGGAGTATTTTTATTTGGCTTTGAAACTGTTTTGAGTATTTTCAACTCTGTTGTTGTTGTCGTCAGTGTTTTTAAAGCACGGTATGTAATGAGAATGCAGTTCTGAAGGAAAGAAAGAGACGCAGAGAGAGCAAAGGCTGAGAGGAACTGATGTATTTCTATTTTTTTTAAAGAAACTGTTTTTAATTGTTTCTGTTTTGTAAATGTGAGGCTTTGAAAAGTGTGAAACTCCAAGGATCCGAAAACGTTGGACATCGCTATGGAACAAAACAAATGTATATTTTGCTAAGTGAAAAACACTATCTTACAGCTGAAAGAATTTTGTTTTCCTAGGTTTAGTTTTACGTGGGATTTTCTTTTTCCTCCTGTATAATATGTAAATATCGCGAGCTGAACCTGGCTGCCACGCGCAGCCTGGCTCCGAGGAGCAGCTCCAGGTCCTGGACTTGGTGCCGCAGTGTGAGCAATACTCTCCAGCAGAATCCTGACAGGACTCCGTTCTTTTTTTGTACACCTTTTACTGTAAGATTTTAAGACCTCTGATGAGATGAAAGGGGGGGTGGGGGTGGGGTGAAACGGACCGGCCATCGGCTGTGTTGCTGAGCGGGTCAAAGCTGCTTCCAGTCGCTCGATGTACAGACTCCATCGCTGGGCTCCGTAGTGCCAGTGTCTGGTTTGGCTTTAGGTCAGGGGCGTCACCGCCACCGTTTGTCTTGGTTACTTTGAAAGGAATCCACTCTCCAAACGCTATCGCTTGCGTCAAGATTGCCTGGGAAAGGGGATCCTCCTCCGGAGGTGAGGGTGTTGGAAGGGGAGTCAGCGGGGGGAGGTGGGGATGGTCGTTCTGTGAGGGCAGGGTGCTGGGCTGGGGAGGCGTTAATGGGGAGAAAAGCATTAGGGTGGTGATTTGGGGGCGGGTTAAGGGCTTCTCAGGGATTATATGAAACATAGAATCGCAGCTTCCCGTTTGCTTTACTCTGTGTTCTGAAGACTGTGGGAATTTGTCCGTTGTGCTGTGCGGAGGTGATCTGGTCCCTTCTCCAGAACCTGCAGGGACTTCCCCTGGCACGATCCAGGCCCCAGCTGGGGAACACTGTGCCAGGGGGAGCCTCCAGCAGGAGCACACGGGGCAGGTTTGGGTCTGGATTTCAGTGAACCAAAGACCTTGTTAAGGGGGGTGATTGAGCCTTTCATTAAGATGCAGCCAAACTCTTTTCCCAGGGAAATAACAGCTTCATCTTAAGTTTTAAAAATCATTCCCTCTCTTCCCCCAAACTGAGCCCTTGTAAGGGAGAGGGGTATTTGAAAAAGGACTGAGAGGGCCATCGTGCCCACAGGGCTCTTCTCTTCCATCCCTCCCCCTGTGTGCCGGAGCTTTTCCTGACCTGGGTGATACGTTTGGAGAGTTCTGTTTAGGTAAGAGGGTACTTAACAGATTAGTACTGAAAACACAAAGCAATAATTTTTGTTACTGAGACAAGAGTCTGTATGTCTGTTTTTTTAAATATTTCCTAATGAAAGAAGAGCTGCATTTTATTGGGTTTATTTTTATTCTATATACTTCAAATTTGGGTCTGCGGACAGCGCTTTCCTCCCTCTTGGTACATGCGCTGAACTGCTTCTGTGCCCCTCCAGACATCCCAGGCCAGCTGTGCTGCCGCTGGGCTGTGAGTCGCTCGCTGGCCAGTGCCGCCACTGCCTGGAGGCTGGGGCTCCGCTTTCAGGGTGGGCATTTTTTTAAAAAGAAATAAAGCTGTGTTTTTAAGCCAGTAAGTTATTACACTCCAATGTTTGTTCTCTCCACACCTGTAACCCTTTTTTTCCAGATTTCAGTTTTAAATTCCTAATAAATTATTTGAAAACTGTCCTCTGTCGTTACTCGGGGGGGGGATTTTCATGCGGAGGGAACTTGCAGGTGAGTTTGGGCCTGGCAGGAGTGGGCTGCTGTCAGGATGAAAGCCCCAGAGCTTTGGCTGTGTGTTCTGCTCCCTGACTTTGGCAGCGGTCCAGTTCATAATGTGAGACAGATCTGCATTTAATAGAGACCGTGCCTCTCCTTTGCATGACAGAGCTCCGTAGCTTCGAGGAAGGGCTGTGTGGTGGTACTAAGAAGGTTGGCTCTGCAGATTCATGGACTGTGGTGAACCAAGGAGGTTAGACTTAGGAAGGAAAAATGGAGAGATAGGAAGAAGATTCCTCAATAGATAACTCTACAAGAGAAAGGTAATTTCCAAAAGTGTAAATAAAACAAGGTGGGGAATCCTGTGCAGCAGCTCGTCATCACAGAGAATTCTTAAAAATAATTTAAGGCTCGAGCCAGTGACTTTGGAACCAGTTGTACACTGGGATGGCCTCAAAAGTGTACTGAGCACCAGCAGCTTTGTGCACCGTACTGGTGGGGAAAGCTAGAAAGCTTTGATGGAGAGATCCTTACCTTTCTGGGAGTTTTCCCATACAGCACTGCTGTTTATCACATGCTGGCTTTCTCACACCGAGTGATCTCCTTGTTTAAATCCCAGATATGATAGTATTTTTGATTTGTGACTTAGCAAGGCCAGTTTATTGGAAGTTCTCTTGGCAACATCCATAAAAAATCACACTGAGAAATGGGGAAGAAGGAACAGCAGAGTCCTGAGGATCATCAATAAATGAAGAGAGAAATAAAATATTTAAAAAGAGTAAAGGTGGCCAAAGTAGCAAAGGAGAAAGAGAACACTTAGATATTGAAGGGAAAGGCAGCAGCTTGATCCGTGTCAAAAGACCAAGCTGTTTTTTCCCCAAGCAAGCTGAAGCACTGGCTCCTCTCCCTCAGCCTGCAACGTTTGCTCAGTGTGCTCACTGTGAGGACATAGGAATCTTGAGCCTGCAACTCGGCACCTGTTTGGCCTTAGTTAATCCGTGCGTGGGGAATCCCAGAGCCTCAGCTTGTGAGAGATGCCTAACTGGGTGCTGCTTTGGTGATGGAGAAACTGCTGCCTGAGCTACTGAAGTGTGCTGTGTTCATGGAAACTCCTCCTAAGGACAGTTCATTTCCAGCACACCTCCCCCGAGGTCAGGTACAAACAGTCAGCAGTTCTTGTTTCAGCCAAGCCATGTGGCCTTTGCAGTAGGATGGGTACCGTGCCACCTGCTTGTACCTGAAGTTAAATTATCTGTAGTTATTTTTGTTTGCGACGTTATCATTCACCTGGTGATGGTGTGAGATGGTTTCAGCAGTTATGGGGGAAGTTGGCCAAATCTGCACAGCCAAGATGGAAAACAGGGAACTGACTGCATCCCATGTACTCAGTTACAATCTCTGGTTTCAAACTCCCATGGCTTTGTTGCATTCACGCCCTCTTTTGTCGTTGTGGTTGTTTGTGATGAAAATATTCCCAAGAAATTTCAGAGGCTCTCCAGGTTGCTTTGCTCCTCGTTCTCGCCTAGGAGGACCTCTGAGAATCTTCACATTTGGAAGAGACCTTTAAAGACTGTGTGGTCCCACTTCTGTACAATGAATGGAGACACCCACAGCTCCATCAGTGCGCAGAGCCCCTTCCCCGACCTTGGGTGTCTGCAGGGACAGGGGCACCACCACCTCTCTGGATTATCTGTGGCTGTTCTTTACCAACCTCACTGTAAAAAACTTCTTCCTTCTATCCAGTCAAATCTCCTCTCTCCTATATAGTTTCAAAGTAAAGAACATATTAGTTTTTTTCAGTTCAGCTCATGCCAGATGATCATTTTGGAGGAATTAACAACTTCTTCCTAAATCAGGCCAGGTGAATCTGCGGAGAGGTATGGGATTAGTGTAAGAGGGATACCATATGAAGAGCATGTTACCACTAGCAGGACGGATATTAGCATGCCAGCAATTTCCAATGTAAATACTGCACCTCTGTATTTTTCAGCAGAGAACCCTTGAAAATATGCTTACCTTTCAGACTGGCTCTTAATACTAGCACAAAAAAATATTAGTAGGAAAACCTAGAATGCAAATGTTTGCCCTGCTGGCTTCCACTGGCCTTCAGCACTTGAGCCACAACCTGTTGCCTGAAGCTTCTGATAGGAGAAATCTGTTAGATAATACAAACACTGGTGTGTGCACCTCGCTTCCATTTCAAGGTGAGCTCGCAGTATAAAGAGCTGCGTTTCCTCCAGCAGCAATCTCCTCGTCAGACCCCACAAGAATGAAGGCTCTTGGCGTGCTGTTCTTGCTGTCGGGTGCGTAGGCAGCGCATGCCCCTCTCAGCACCCCGGCCTGCTGCCTGCACACCCAGCGCTAACCTTTGTGCTTCTCCTCAGCGGTGGCTGCCATCGCTGCAGTCTCACCTCGTGCATTATGGGAGTTCCGCAGCATGATCAAATGCACCATCCCAGACAGCCACCCTCTGCTCGAGTTTAATGACTACGGCTGCTACTGCGGCTACGGAGGCAGTGGGACACCCGTGGATGAACTGGACAGGTTTCTACAACTCTGCTGTTATAAACCTCTTTGCTTGGTTCTGCTTTTGTGGTTCTGCATGCTGGCTTCTCCTCAGCCCTGTCTGCAGACAGGTGCTCCGCGGGCACCAGGCACTGATGGGGACACAGGGTAAATGATGCCTTTTGCTGTCCTGAGAGCTGCTGCAGTAAGCATGCACGTAGCAGGCACCTCATGGAGCGTGGGCTGGCAGGGGAGGAGCTGGACTTGGTGGTCCTTGTGGTCAGGATACTCTATGAGGTGAGGCCCTTCAAGGTCCTTTGAGCTCTCAGCTATCACTGAATATTTGAAGGGTTTGGTGATTCTTGTGTTCAGTGCCTTGTCAAAATCTACTGACGAATGGTCACACGCTTACACAGCCTACAAGTCAGCTGAGTTTGCGTTTCAACATCTTCTCACCTTTTCCTCTGTGTTCCCCAGGTGCTGTCAAACACACGATGAATGCTACACCAAGGCAAAGTCGGTGTGTGCCGCCTCCAATGATACCCCCTACACCAAGACATACAAATACTCTTGCAAGAACAAGGAGATCACGTGTAGCAGTACGTCCTGCCCCAAGTCCCTGCTGTGCTCTGTGTCACTGTGCCTTCCCTGTCTGGAAAGCGTGTGGCTGCATGGCTTTGGGGGCGGGAGGGATGTGCGGCGGGAGGCCCTGCCAGGTGCAGTGTCACACTGATGCTGCTTTCACGGTGTGCAGAACAGTAGGAAACTCATCCTTCCTCGGGGGTGCAGACAAGAGCTGTGGGCTCAGTGGGGAGCACAGCACAGCTGTGCCACACAGCTGCTGTGCGACGGCAGAAAACCTCAGATGGAAGGAGTGGCCTGTCTGCAGCCGGGGCCTCGTGCCGAGATGGGGCAACGCGTGGCAGGGCACCGCGCGGAGCTCTGATCGCCCACCTTTCCCTCCAGGTGCCAACAACGAGTGCGAGTTGCTCGTCTGTAACTGCGACCGCACGGCCGCCATGTGCTTCGCCAAGGCACCGTATAACAGCGCTCACCTCCACCTGGACAAGAAGAAATACTGCAGCAGTTAAATGTAGCACGGCTGCCGCCAATAAAAGCCTCGCACCACACGCACCCAGCAGCTCCATGCTGCGACGCGGCCTCGAGACGGGGACGGAGGGAGAAAGGCGGGGAGGGAGGGAGACAGGGGGCGGGTTGGCGCGAAGCCCCGCCCCTTCCACCACCCGCGTCCTTTGATTGGCCCCGAGCGGAGGCGGGCGCGGCGTCAGGAGAGGGCGCGGGGTCAGGAGGAGGCGCGGGCGGTGGGCGCGTGGTGTCGCACCCCGAGAGGCCGTTATCCCGCGCCTCAGGCGGCGGTTGGGCCGCTCCGTTCCTCGCGGGGGCGGCGTCATTCCCAGCCCTCGGCAGGGCGCCGAACGCGGGCGGTGGTGCTGTGCGGATCGGCCTCGGCCCCGCTGCTCATCCTGGCGCTGCCCGTCCCTGGGGGCGCGGCCGTGTGCGGGGCTGAGGCGTCCGTTGGCCATCGTCCGCTCCGGGCGACTCGTGTCCGGGCCGGGCTGCGGGGCTGAGGCGGAGTTAGCGGGGCCGTGAGGAGCTGTGCGGCCTTCTGAGGGCCGTTTAACCTACAGCAAGCTGTGCCTGTAAGAGCTGCTCTCAAAGATGAGACGGAACCCGAAGATCTGCGAGAGGGCTCTGAGAAAGCAGGAGCAGAAGAAGGAAGGAGTGGGAATGGTGCTGTGGGGGGCTGGGGCTCTGAGGGTGTTAGAATGGTCATGGGGTGGGATGGTGAATCACATCCTTAGGAAATAAAATGAAACTTGAGTGTGTGCATCTCCTGTGCAGCTACTCCATGTGAGGGCAGACTGAGTCCTGCCTCTGTGGCAATGTTCATTTCCTATTTCCCTCAACTGTGCACATCTGTGAGTGTTCTGGAAGTGCTGAGCTCTGGGTTTTCCACAGAAATGTGGAGGATCCTGGCTGTGTTTCTTGTTCACACTCATCTGGTGGTGCAGAAGACTGGACAGTAGGTTTGAACGGCTCCCCCCCAGCAAGATTTCAGGTAGGGAATTTTGTCCCATAGTGTCCAGTGCCAAGCCCCAGGCAGTGGCAGAGATGGGGACGTGCTGGGGGGACCGTGGCTTTGTGTTGCTGAAGTCTCAGCATCCTCTTCTTTACTGTATTCTAGGCCAAGATTTGCTGGACTCTGCAGGGACATTGAATTGCTCCAACCATATGGGCATTGCAGCGTTAAAGGAGAAGATATGCCAGCTGAGACAACGCATACAGAAAGCAAACAACTATGCTCAGGGTAATGACTGTGTTTCTGTTTCTGTCTGCAGACCTATACTACACGTTTCCACTTTTATTCTTCCACTCAGGCTCAACTTTTTCTCTTGCAATGCTTAGTAGTGAAGGAGGGGAAAAAATACAGACTGTGGTAACAAGGTACTTTTTGTTAGTTAGGGAAGGGAGAGGACTGGGGTCTGCACACAAACCTGCAGGAAACATCTGTATCTGGAACAGTGGTTTTAAACTGAAGCAAGTTTGTTGTAGTAAATAGGCACAATTTTTATATGCTTATGCTGAAGCTGCATTGTGTTGTCAGGGGCTGAGCAAGGGCTAGCAGCTCGCTTGGCTCAGGCTCTCCAGCCTGCTTGTGTGGAGTGTGCACGCATCACTGTGCTGTGCCGTCCTCTGACACAAACTGCTTTTGTTCTTTTTTTCTTTCCCTCCTCTTCTATTCTTAGCCTTTGTAATTGTTGCCTGCTTAGCCAGTTGTCAGTGTGAGTGAGCATGAATTCCTCACTGTCCGTCTGTGTCCTCTGCATGGTTTCCTGTATCTGTCAGGACTTGGGTGCACAGGTGACAGACCCCAATGGGGAATCCTCCACTTAACAAATCTTGCAGAAACAGTACGATCAGAGGAAAAGGATTACTGTTCTGCTTTCTGTTGTTACTCAAAAAATATCATCCACTTTTTTTTTTTTTTTTTTTTTTTTTTTTAAGATCCACCTGAAGAAATCAAAGCTATCTAGCAGCCCATGTTCCAGAATTTCCTGCTCTTTGGAAAGAAAGCTTCAGCCAGAAGAAATCTGGCATCTGAAAGATATTTTCACAGTGTTTGTTTGGTGATGAAAATGGCCCCACCAGTCAGAGTGAAGAGGCGAAGTCCTCTATTCTCCATTTATTGTTTCACATGTGTAATTTTTTCTGTAATCTAAAAACACAGCTGTTCAGGTGAAGTTAATTTAGATCTTGAAACCTCTGCACTGAGACACTGTAAGGGATTCAGGGTGATGTGATAAGAAATGCTGATTTCAGGCACTTGGCTGAGACCCTCTTCATTCCTTTCCCTCTAACACCAGTTGTCCTCTCAGGATTGCTGCTGTTTACCTGGTACCCCAGGACAGGGTGTGTGAGAAGGCTCCATCTGTCCTGCCCAAGCCGTAGGTTTTGAGTGAATAGACCAAGGAAAGCAGTCAGTTGGCTCTGCTTTGAAATGTCTGCTTTTTCTCTTGTGTGGGAAGAGGTACACTCTAGAAGGTGGATTTTGCCCCTTTTGCTCCAAGGCTCCAGAACCTCCCAAGTTCACAATCTTTGGTCCTTTCTAAGAAATCATGAATCAGCAGGTTTGTTGGTAGGAGCAGTCTGACTGCAAGGCAGCATCCTTCGGGCCTCCTGTAGTCTGTGCTGCCTTCACTGGAGCACTGTTTGTGAAATGCCTCAGGCTGCAGGGCTCTGTTACAGAGTTTGCTCTGAGGGTTTGTGCAGAACTGAAGACAAGGATTGCTAAATAGGAAGCAGCTTTTATTTGCTTCGGGTAACTCCTACCCCACTTCCAGAGGAGGGGCAGAAGGATCTGTTCTAAGGTACTCACAGCTCCTGTAGCCAAACCTCAGGAACTTGTCCTGGTAGGAAAAGCTGTAAGAAAAAAGGGAGGAGTACATTGTTTTCAGGCTATTGATTTCAGCTAATTTTCTGGGGGGAGAAAAAAGTATTATTGGCTAATGTGTGCTTTTGCTAACCACAGATGGACAGAGCTGCCACTTCAAGTCCAGGTCTGAAATGTTGGTGTAGTGGCCTAACAGTGATGATCAGAAAAGGTAGAAGGTTCAGTTGTGGTGGATGGTCCAGGCAGGTTTTGAGCAGACAAGGCATTATTTCCTCCCTGGCAAAAGGGGAAGAAATCACTGCCCCAGCTCTGTGACATGCCTTTCCTATTAGTTTCAGCCAGTGGATGATTTGTGTTCTTTGTACTGAACTGTGGAGGTTTCTGTAACTCCCTTCAGAGTGGTAACTACATTCAGTAATCCTGAAGCAGGCTTCTCAAGATTGGTCTTTGCTACCTGCAGTGACAGCTTTTGGTAGCTGTTATCTCTCTGCATCGCACACAAACAGTCCCAAAGAAGTGACAGGGGAAGGTGTTGGTCAATGTTAAAGCAGGTGTGGCTTTTGGTTTAGAACTTCAGGCTTTCTGTGGCATTTCTCAGATGGGCAAACTTAGTTCCCAATGGTGTATAGGTCAGTTTTAATAGTGCTGGATCAGCTTGGCACCAAAAACAGGACAATTTCATCTCAACCTCATATACTTGTTTTAATCGTATGCTTGTTAACATATGATAATAAACCATGCACAGGAAATTTACTGCAAATGCTCATTATCTGGTTTAAGTCTCTGTTCCTAGTGACTTAAAAGCATGTAGTGTAAGCAGTGGAGGGTCATTTCTCAGTGATGCTGAAGAGACGCCCTGCTTCTCCTCTCCCAGATACTCAACTGCTGAACTGGAAAAGAGGCACAGATAGAAGGCTGAGTTACCTGTCACATCTGGTGATTTTGAGTCCTCACTAGAAATGAGGCCTCTTGTTTTGGACTCCCTGGCAATGCTGCCATCTCAGAATGTTGGCACTAATGGCATCTAACCTGCAGCCCCTGTTTTTAACACACCCGTGCTGTGCAAGCTTCCAGATGGTACAGAAGATGATGTGGAGAGTGAAAACCCCGGCCCTGGTTCCTCTGCCAAGGAGGCTTAAATGTCTTCTTACATGGAAAACCTAAGTGAATAAACATGGTGCAGGTGCCCAGATTGTGTGTAGAAACTGTGATGCCTCAGCAATGATTTGTGCCAAAGCTTTGGTTAGTAGGACAGCTGTGCTGCACAGAAGTAGACTGACATCTCTGAGCTTTTATCACCACCAAACAGCAGATTTCTTCACACTGGAAAGTGGGGTCTCCCTTGAATGGGAGCAGAAGTGAATGCTTCTCATCTGGCTTTTAAGTGAAATATTGTCCCCTTTGGCCCTTAGAACTGAGTGTTGAAACACTGAATGTCTGATTCCCTTTACTTTCTGCAGGATTGATCCCCTGTATCCACTGGATTCTGTACTTGGGATGGGTTTGAAGCGACAACAAAAGAGAAGCAACGTAGCAATTTGTGGTCAGATCTCCTTGCTTTGTTACTGCCCTCTTAGCAAATGACTCTGGCACCCTTGCATCCAACAGCTTGTTAACAGTTCTTGTCAGAATAGTAATATGGGGCATGTTAGGTGAAGGGCAGGACTGGGCTTTTGAAAGACCCCAACATGGCCAGGAGGGGAGTGGTAGAATGAAGTGGGAAGTTGGATCCAAAATGTAATGTTTCAGGCTGGGCAAGATTCTATCTTTTACTCCACATATGGTATAATTTGTCTTAAGATACCACCCTATGGATCAACAAAACGTGGCTGCCCAGCAGGGATGGATCTGCTGTTAGGAGTGTACCAAATCACGTCTATAAAAGCTTGAGGTAATCCCTAGGGAAACCTACAGTACAGACTTAATTGTATCTCTTAATTCATCAGCTGTTAGTAATTACATCCTGCATTTTTGCAATGGAAAAAATGAACCAAGCTGGCTACTGAGACTGACAATAAATCACAGGAGGGAGAGGAAATTACAACACAAATAGAAACAGTCACGTAAACAATTTTAATTTGCTACTTAGCTATTCATTAATTAAATAACACCTTTTAGAAATGCAGTTTTGAAAAGGCAGCAGTGACACTGAAAGCAGCTCCGGTCAGATTAGCTGAAACTAAATCCTCTGGCATCTCAACAATATGCCATTTTTAAAAGGTTGATAGTAAGCAGTTCAGCTGGCAGTTAGAGCAGTGCTGACTTCCCCTCCTTGCTGGTATCAGCTCTGTAGCCCGTGCTTTCAAATAATTTATTACAAGAGCAGTATTCTTGTTCAGCTCCTCTTTTGATCCATTTCTGGGGGGAATGACAACTGTGCAGTTCTTTTTGCCTCTTTTACCCTCTCTGTATGCTCCATGTTTGCCCACAAATGACCTGGGATCCAGCTGGTACTGGGTGTTCCATATCACTCTCCTGTGCTGTTCTGTGTGGAGCAACTCTGTCAAACTCCCTGTCCTCCATTCTTCACAACTATTTAAAAAAAAAAAAGGAAAAAAAAAAGTATTTTGTTCTCAGATGTCTGAATATCCTGTGCCAGTCCGGTCCTCTGCCAGTGAATGCAAAGAAAAGGAACTGTTTACACAGTAAGGGAAGGCAAAAAAAACTCCCTCCTTTTCATCATTCTTCTCCTTCCTTGTTAAGTGGAGATGGTTTCAGTGCAGAAAACTGTCAGGCTGACATGTGTGAGGCTTGCTGCCCTCTCCTGGCATCACCGGGTGCCATGTGTAAAGATCTGATGGCTGCCCTTCAGACCGAAGTAATTCCCCTGTGGAGAGATGAAGTCCTGCAGGAATGGAGAGAAGAAGCTGCTTTACAGATGAAATTTACATTACATTTACATTACATTTACATTATTCACATTTCACAACAGCGGTGTTTTGATGAACCAGATCAGTTCAACCAGGCACAGCTTTCAAATCAGCAGGGACTCGAGAAACCCTCAGGAACCCGCGCTGCTACCAAGAAAGATTGCAGCGTGCAAAGGCACCAGCACTGATCACGTTCTCTGAATCTGCAGATGATCCCCTGCAGCTCTGCCACTGTGCCAGATGGACTGGGAGCACCCTCATGGTTGTCCATGATGGCAGGAGGTGGCACCACGGCCCACCTGAGCACCCCAGGAACAGGTGGGAAGATGCAGCCAGGCTCCGATGCTCTGAATGGACTTGAGTTGTCTGAATGGATTTCAGTTCAGCTCCAGCATCTGCTGGCTATTTAAACCCACATTCTTACCCTTTAAGGTGACTGCCCCGGGAGGTACCCACCTTGTAGAAAGAATTTTACCCCTGATAGCCACTGCTGCTCAGCTCGTTGGCTCAGTGTGCATCTATTAAAGGCAGCAGCTCTCCACAGCGGGAATTCAGCTTGAGGGATGCAAAGTGATCTAACCTCGTGGGCCCAATGTTGAGGACTGCTATTGGCAGCTGCTTCTCTCTGGCTGCCAGCGCAAACCTGTAACCAGAGTACACCTGCAGGAACACCACAAGACAGAGTTATCGGCAGCACAGGCAAAGAACAGTGACAGAAAGTGAAACAGATGATGCTTGGCTGGGAAATGGGGCTGTATATGTATGCTGTGTTATGCAGCTGCGCTTAATTCAGGTAGGGGGTTTCTCCATTCAGAAAAGGACAATTTTTAACCTCTCACCAGAGAAAAGTTTTCAGTTTTGGAGAAAATACATCAAAGGGAAAGTTCTTGTCTTTCACTAATTCTCTGCAGCAGTTTTTGCTACTTATTATAGGTCCTTAAACGATTCTGCTTTGGTGGTTCTCACATGGCCCAGCTTAGGTGCTACAAGAATGAACCTAAGGCATTTCAATCATTCCTGTATGAAGGATTATGAGCTCAAAAAGGGCGAGCTCAAGGAATTTATCTCCAGTATCCTGAAGAAGCAAAGAGAAGAGCAATCAGGCCTTTGGTTTATGCCTTTCTGGAAGGTGTTAAAGTTGTTTTTCTTAATGTAATAGAACTTGTTCTTGGAAAATTGCTTATTAATTCTCCAAGCTTCCACAGGTTCAACAGCAGGGTTTTCTAGACCACCTTACCTTGCACTTGTAAGATAATGGCTAATAGAGAAAACACGCTGTGATACAACGTGCAGCAAGCGGAGGCTTTTCTGCTCTCTTCCTCAGAAGTTTAACTAGGAATTAGAGGTCCTAAAATCCAAATCCCAACAAACAGTAATAATTACTGAGAAGCTGAAGTGGCTGTGGTGATCTGCCAGCAAGCAGCCGTCCTCAGCTATGGGACCAAGGGCTGCTGCAGACAGCAGTACAGAAACAGGAAGACTTCGCTACCTGCATAGAGGATCCTGCCACCAGCATGGAGTCTGACTCTGCCAGCCGTTGGTGCACAAAATCCACCTTTTCCTGGCTCACTGTGTCTCCAAAGAACGTCACATCAGGCTTCAGGATTCCACCACACTTCCTGCAAGCTGGGACTTGGAAATTGCGCACCTGCTCGTCCGTGAGGAAGACATCCCCATCTGGAGCCACACCAAGGGCTTCAGCTTTCCAGCTAGGGTTCAGAGCTTCAAAGTGCTCCTGAAGCTCAGAGCGTGAGGTTTGATCACCACAGGTCAGGCAGAAAACCCTGAAATGCAGAGCAAAGCCTGAACAGAGACCTTTACATCAGCTGAAGCCCTGGAGCCATAACTTGTTCTTTACAAGGCCTGGGCAGTCTGTTTCCATTACATTTATTTACTGCGTAGTGCAGGTGAGAGGTAGATTGTGTTTTTGTAGTGGAAATTCCCAGTATTTCTGTATGTAGCATAGGAAATAAGTTGCCTTTCACAAAGAAAGTTGCTGAACAGAGTAAAGTTGAGATTGGGGCATTCCAACCTAGGTAAAATTGGCATGGGCACTAGGTAAGGTAATCGTATAGGGTAGGGAGAGTCTGGTACAGGACAGAACAAGCGTGCAGATAGTTGAAAATGTTGTCCTCCTATTGCCATAAAAAGTACAGAACATACCCAAAGACAGTGGGTTGGTAACAGACATTGTGTGGAAGTGTAATGTAGCAACAGTGCTGGAAGATTGTGAGCCTGAGACGCTGAACCAGTTGTGCCAGGAGAGGCTTTACCTGCATTGGACCCAGGGTATCTAACAGTGGATTTTACTGACCAGTTGCACAATTTCTGCCTTGTCAGTAGGGGTGTGTGCCCATTACTGCAATAATGAATAAACTGCTCTTCACAGAGATCTTTGCCTGATTAGAAATTTTTGATCTTTGAGCGTGTTTCTCACACAGGCCAGTGAGCTGCCTGCCTCCAGCTGTTGCTTTGCAGGGATGCTCTACTCTATGCACTTTGACCCCTACCTTGAATTCCCTCTCACAGTCAAGGCTGTGCTTTTTCATCTGGAAGTTTTGGGTGATCACAGGCAGCTTGCAGTGCTCTGCTCTGATTGCCTGACCTGAGCGTTCCTGGCACTGCCCTCTCACCTTTGAGCCCCCCATCTCCACTAGCACAGCGCATTTATGTGCTGTCTCCCTTCTCAGCAGCTAACACTGCACCTACACACTGGTGACCCAGAGCAGAACAGCAATGGTCAACCATCTTCCCTCTACCCAGAGAGTACCTGTGCGTGCAGCCGTGCAGTTCTGTCATGCGCTTGCTCCCAGCTTTGGTGTGAAGCGCATCCACGTTCTGGGTCACCAACCAGTGCAGCTTCCCCAGCTTTTCCCACTGCCTCAGCACCAGGTGGGCCGTGTTTGGCTGATAGGAGGAGAACTGTGGCCAGCCCACAAAGTTCCTTGCCCAGTAGCGCTGCCGGGCGCTGGCACTGCGGACGAACTCAACGTGCTGGATGGGCCGCCGGTCCGACCTGGCATAGAGCCCCACTCCTTCTGAGCGGTAATCAGGGATCCCCGACTCAGTGGAGATTCCAGCTCCGGTCATTACAAACAGCTTCTTGGAGCTGGAAATAAAACGCTGCATCTCTTCTACTTCTGCGGGATGCGGGGGGAGGCAGGCCGGTACAAAAGCCAGGTTTGGGGACACGCTGGGGACAGAGCGGTGCTGGAGATGGTGTGGTCTGATGGCTCTGCAGCATCCTGGGAGCTTCCTGGCAGGGAACATGTTGAGCTAAAAGCCAAGAACAGGACACGAGGCAGGTAAATGAGAGCAAAGGGCCCGTTGTCTTGCAGTTCTCCAGAAAATGACCCTGATGGTTCTTTGCACTTTTTTTTTTCCTTTTTTTTTTTTGTAAGGAAACCCAAATTACTTTGGAAATAAGACAGCATTCCTACATTTCCATGTCCTGTTCACAGAGTAACACAGAGGAAAGCTCAGAAGGTACAGAGTGAAACAGTAATTGGCTCTAAGAAGAACACCCATCCCGATGCTCCCAGTGGCAGCTCCCAGTGCTTAAACTGCTTCCAGTGCCCCATTCCTGTCCTTCACCATCAAAAGCGCTCTCAGAAGGAAATGTTTTGATGGGGAATGACATGGAGCTGTGACCCACAAATGGAGACAGCGTGTAGGCTGGCCCACAAAAGGGGGATGCAGGGAAGGCTTAGAAGCAAAAAAAAATACGTCTGAGAGACACTGCGGAGCACCTGAACAGCATCAGGGAAAAACTTACAGAAGAATTCTTGGGAAATGCAAGGCTGCTTTGAAAACCCGAGTGCTCAGACGTCAGCGGTACAAACCAAAAAGGCCCACGGATAGCGTTTGCTTTAGCACCCACCCGAAATGCTGTGCAGGCAGAGGACAGGCAGCACAAGGCAGCAGACAGGCCGGGAATTCAGAGCTGTGCCACCCGAGTCCTTTCCGCTGTAACAGCGACATGGCGGGGTCACACAGCGACGTGGCTGGTGAGACAGCAATGTTACAGCAACCAGAGCCCAACCGCGTACCTTTCATAGCGCTGCCAGCTCCGAGAAGGGCTTCCTGCCAGCAGGGCTTTGTGGGAAGCGCAGTCTGCACGCAGCTCAGCCCTCAGCACGGCGACTACAGCTCCCGTGGTTCAAAGAACAGAAGCCCAGCTTCCTGCAGGATTGCAGCCCTCGTGCGGCGCCGGGTGCCTCGCAGCTGCCCTCTAGGAACAGTCCGGGAATAAAAAAAACTCTGATTTGTGTTCAGATGGCGGTAGCAGCTGTGATAAAATGCATCGTAGGTGCTTGTATTAAAAAAAGGCATTTTCCCTTCCCTGCTAGTGTCAGGTCCTGGCCTCAAAATGATGAACAGTGGGAGAACTGAGGGCTCCCAGCATGCTCAGCTTTGTGTATGTGTGGCATAACTGGAAAATATGGGCACATGTCAGCAAGGAGGGACAAGTTGTGGAAACCCGGTCTGCTGCATTGCAGTTAACGTGGCCAAGCTGCTCTGCGTGCAGCTTTCTAGGGAGGCATGGAGGACAAAGATGAAGCTGCTGCAATGGTGCAGCTCTGCTGGCTCAGTGAGCCACTGTGATGATGTATGAGGTTGGATATCAGGAAACGGAAAGGGTTTGCAGAAAGGGTTGTTAAGCACTGGAATGGGCTCCCCAGGGAGGTGGTTGAGGCACCAGCCCTGATGTGTTTAAAAACCGTTTGGATGTGGTGCTCAGGGACGTGATTCAGCGGAGGGTTGTTAGGGTAGCTGGGGTTGGACTCGATGATCTTTATGGTCTTTTCCAACTTGAGTGATTCTACGATTCTATGAGGTGGCCGAAAGCCAACGGAGCAGCAGTGGTGCGTGGTGAATGATACTGAGGCTCAATTGCTATTAGCTTTAAAGATTTTCAAACAGTGCCTGAAAAATCCTGTACGTCTTACAGTCTGCAGAGGCAGTTCTCTCCCTGTCTTGCAAGGAAGCCGATCGGTTTCGGTGCTGGCTTTCTCCGGGCAGTGATGCTCTCTGCAATTCGGTTATTCAGAGTTTCTGGAAAACTGGATCCCGGCTGGAACAACCCCTGTGCTGGGCTGCCTGCCTGCTGCCCCTGCCAGCACCTCGTTGTGCCTCTCTGCTCGGTGCACGTTTCAGTCTCCACATTCCATCCATATTCACGATAAACCGCAGGATTTGAGGGTTTGTTTCATTAGAGAGGAGCCTTTTAAAAATAATTATTACTTTACAAAAAGGAGGAGAGAAAAAAGGAGAAGGAGGAGCGCCTGCCGCACAGCACAGCCAGATCCGGCCGCCCACCCCCCGGCACACCGCACGCCCTCCGAACCCCTCTTCGCTCACAGGCGCCGCCCGCCCAGAGCCGTGACGCGCCGCGTTGTGGCGCCCTTCCCTCCCCGCGCTCATCAGCATAGCGGGCTCCCGGCACACCCCGCGCGCCAACTGCGCCGCCGCTCCGCGCCGCCGCGCTCATCCCGCACACACGGGCGCTCCGGGCGCGGCGCGGCAGCGGCGGAGAGCGCGCGGGGCCGGAGGCGAGGGGCGCGCGGGGCCGCGGCGGCGCGCTCTGATGTAGGCGGCGGTGCGGCTGCGGGGGCCGCGGCGGTGCGGAAGGAGCGGTCAGCTTTGCGCAGTGGCAGTATCGTAGCCAATGAGGTTTATCCGAGGCGCGATTATTGCTAGTTGAAAACTTTTCCCAATACCCCGCCATGACGACTTGAAATATAGTCGGCATTGGCAATTTTTGAGAGCCTCCCCGGAGGCTGATTTCTCGTGGTTAACGACAGAGCGATGAGTGCTGCGGATGTTCCTCGCCTCGCTTCTTCTTTCATTCTCTCACTCGTTAACGTACAGCGTTCTCTCCCTCGGGGCGCTCCCAGCGGCCCGGTGGCGCTGCGCGTTCCCGGAGAGGCGGAGGGGATGCCGCACCCCGAGGGCGGGGCTGGGATCTGAGGAGCGCCCCGCCGGCGGGGAGAGCCGGGGTTTCCCGCGTGACGTCATGCCTGCTTTGCATAGCACTTCCCAGTATGCCTCGCGGCCGCCCGCTACCTAGCTCGGAGGTGGGCACGACGGGGGGCTGCGCTCCTCACCGTAACCCCGGGACCGCGGTACCGGGCGGGACCGGCGGCAGTAAGGGCGAGGGAGCGGCGGCGATGCGGCGCCACTCGCCGTGACGGCGCCAGTGGCCCCGGTGCCTGGCGTGGCGGCGGAGAGAAGGGCGGTCAGCTTTGCGCAGTGGCAGTATCGTAGCCAATGAGGTTAATCCGAGGCGCGATTATTGCTAATTGAAAACTTTTCCCAATACCCCGCCATGACGACTTGAAATATAGTCGGCATTGGCAATTTTTGACAGTCTCTACGGAGACTGAATCGTGGTGGTTAAAAGTAGAGTGTTGCATTCCTTCATAGCTCGAGTCTCTAGTACCGGCGCGGCGTCTTGCGGTCGTGGCGCGGTTCTTTTACACAGCGGTGGGTGGGGAAGGCGACCGAGCAATGAATGGAAGCCGGGCTGCGGCTGTCCTGTTTTCCCTTCCTTGCTGGCAGCATCCACGTGGAAGTGCGGCCTGAAGCGCAGGGCTCCGTTGCACGCCTTCCAGTCGCGCTCTGGGGCTTCGTACGCGTTCTTCTCTGCCAAGCGTTCAGTCTGATGCAAATAAGGGCGCTGCTCGCAACACCGCCGGAGAAGTGAGCTCTGATTTCTCCTGGTTGGCAACCTGAGCGCTGTGCGGGGTCACGGGGCTGGCCCGGCAGCGCCGGCTTCGAGAGGGATGGACGGAGGGCTGGCAGCAGCAGGTGCTCTGCATGGGGTCGGTGCTTAGCTTGACTCATTGACTTCATTTCCAGCTCTCTGACCCGCTTGCCATCTGCCCAGCGGGGCGATAATTCCTTACCATAACTTCTGCAGAAGATAAGGAAGGAGCCACGTCACAGCGCGCTGCAGTCCCGGGGCAGAGTGCAGGAGGGGAATGGTGACACGGGCTAAAGTTGCTTCCAGCAGCCGGGTAGCCCCGCAGCAGGCATAGGGCGAGCTTCGGGGGCAGAGCCGCTTTATTTTTTGTGGGGGGCGGCTGAGGGGACGGGGCGGGCACAGGGAACGCCTCGTCGCCCTCCACAACTCCCAACACGAGGTCGGAGCGCGGGGACCCCGAGCTGCCCGCCGCGCCGTGCCGTGCCGGGGCGTTCCCCTCGCTCCCGCCGGCAGGGGGCAGCCGCGGGCACGCGCGACGCCAACGGGAGCGCGCGGGCGGCGGGCACGCGCGGGGGCGGGGCGGGAAAGTTGCGAGGCGCTGAGGAGAGCGGGCGGCGGCACCTCCGGCACCATGGACGACCTCGGTGAGTTCCCGGCGCTCCTCAACGGGCTGCGGGCCGCCTCTCTGGCCGCGGGATTCGGCCGGGATCCGTGCCGGCGGCCGGGGCTCCCGGAGGTGCCGCGTCCCTCCCGCTGGCCGCTCGGGCCCGCCGCCCCGGGGCACGGCACGGCTCGGCTCGGCTTCGCCCCGCCTGCCCGATCCCGGCCCGTGCGCGGGGTGCGGCCCGCGGAGCTCGGCGGCGCGGAGTCCCGCGCGTGGAAGCGATGGGAGCGGGCTGGGAGGGGCCGCAGTGCTGCTGCCATCCGCCTCCAGCAGCGAGCGGCGGGCTGCCTCTGAACGAGGAATGGAGGGCTGAAGAAGGTCCGAGTTTGGACCTCTTCTGCTCTGCTGAGGCGTTGCTCGTTAGCGCGGTCGAAGTGGAGGTTCTAGGATAAGGCATAACTCCGTCCCAACAGCTTGGTTTCATCGGGTCACACTCACACCGGGTCCTTCTCAGTTTTTGTGCAGTCTTTCCTGTTGGACGGCATCTGACGATCCTACAATAACCATCCGAACGAGAAAAGCTCTCTCTCATCTAAATCTACAGAATTTATCTTAAAAAGAGCACACCAGTGCTTTCCCTTTGGAAATCACTGCAGCTCCCTTGTTTTTCTAAAGGCTCTCAGCTTTTGGATATCAGGGGAAGCTCTTCACAGATAGAGCGGTGAGCTGCTGGGACAGGCTGCACAGGGAGCCTGTGGATGCCTCAATGCTGGAGGTCTTCAAGGCCAGGTTGGATGGGGCCCTGGGCAGCCTGATCTGGTGTTAAAGGTGGAGGTTGGCTGCCCTGCCTGTGGTGGGAGTTGGAGCTTGGTGACCCTTGGGGCCCCTTCCAACCCAAGCCATTCAGTGATTGGGATACATAAGTCAGGCGAAGCGCTGTGCTGTGCTCGTACACTGTGTAGGTTCAGAGTTGGTGCTGCATAAAATCAGCTGAGATACCCCTGTGTGGTGCAGAAACTGCTCTTGTGCCTGGCTGGGTGTGACGGAGCACCGCAAAGCACCAGTGATGTCTCTATTCCTAACTCCCTCAGCTTATCATAGATCTTTGGGCCATCCCTATCCCTTCCAGAGGAGCTGATGGAATTTTGGTCAATGCGTATTCCTGCACTGTAAAACTCAGACCCAGAGGTACTTTACTTGGTCTGGACAGGGTATGAAACACCAGCGGGTGTGGGTTTGGGTCGCACTGGGGATTTGGATTTGATCAGAGCTGAAAAGACTTTTCTCGTTTTTTTTTCCCCACCCTCAGTGCTGGAGGAATGGCGTCGCAGTGCACGGCTCCTGCAGGAAGCTGCGTCCCAGCAGCACAGGGAGCTCAACGCTGGGCCTGACAAAACTGCAGCAGCACATGGTGGGGATGGGGGGGTGGGGAGCCTGGGCAGCTGGCCAGGCTCGCGTTGCCTGCCCTGAGCCTCAGAGGAAACGCTTTGCGGACGTGCTTGGAGTTGGGCAGGAAGCTCGCTGTTCTGTGGCGCTGTGGATGGGTGTGGAGGATAAAACCTGGTCCTGAGCAGTGTGGGTCCTGGCTTGGGAGTGTATCACCCAGAGCTTCCCAGAGTGCAGTGTTGTTACGTGCTGTGCCCCCAGCAACAGGTGATCTGTCACATGCGTTTGCTTCGGGCAGATTGAGCTGCTGAATTATTCCTGGTTCCGTGGCACTACCTTGTCTAAGTCATGTGGAGCGTTATTTATTTACTGAGAGCTTTGGCAACTCCAAACAGAAGTGGTGTTGCTTTTAAAAGCTGTCTTTTGGAGGCTTTAAAATTCCCGTTTTCGTTACTGCTTGCTTATTTTTTCAGACACTTTT